GACCCCGCGTGCGGGGCGGGCCCGAGCGGGCAGGCGGGGAGGAGAAGCGCCCCGTTGGGTTCGTAAAGCTGGCAAACGCCACGCTTAAACCGAGCGCCCCGGAGCGTCTCTGGAAACGCGGCGGGTTGTGCCGCGAGGTAGCCTGGGGATGACTTCACATCGCTTCCCTTGCCCGGCTTGCCGCTTGTGTGCTTAACAGCTGTGCAGAGTGCTTGTAAACAAGCGCAAAATGCTCTGCCGCTGGTAGTGCAGACCTAGCCGCACCTCCGTCTTTCCACCCGAGCTCGCTGCGGGATGAATGCTGCTTCTGGTAAATGTGCGTGACTCTAAAGGCTTGCGCTGTTAATGCCGTGCAATGAAGTGAAGCCGTAGGTCAACAGCTCATTTTAAAGCACCTGAGGAATTCCTTGATCACTTCTAAAGGCCCCGGCGGTGCAGCAGGGGTGGAATTTAGGGTCTTGATGTGAATAAAGTGGCAAGTTTTGCAGCCCAGCAAAAGGAGGCCGCGCTTTCCATTCTTCGGCGTCTTCCCTCTCTGTCTTCTTGTACCAACGCTAGTTAAGATGCAGATTTGAAAGGCGTTGGAGGGTGCGTTTAGCTAGTTTGGAGTAAAATCAGKGCTGCAGCAGCGAAGGGAAAGCGAGTTGCTTGGTTAGAGGAGTGTTGTGTGAGTTGCCATGGATAGTTGCTGCACTTCTTTGCATGGGGAGCCTCTGCCGAAACTTTCAGTTTGCTTAGTAAAGTGGAAAACTTGCTTTGAAAGTAGTTAGCTCTACTTAACAGAGTCAGTCAGATAAAACTGCTGCCGTAAATGAGTGTTGTAAATAAATAAATAGATAAATAAATAAAGKGTGCAGCAAGGTAATCACAGTCTCTAGGGAGAGCTTATTTGGAAAGCTTAAATCAATAGCTCACCCAAGGAGAAGGCACCGAGTGGCCCAAAAGTGGTGAGGAAATTCAGTCCATTGAAGTGCCGTCAGGACAGAGGGAGTTTGGAGGATCTCCTTCCCCAGGATTCGCACACGTGTCTCTGCGGCAGCTTTGCACCCTCCGTGCGGGGCTGCCGGGACGTGCAAGGCTTGGAACAAGGAACATCGCGCTGCACTTGGCAGCCGAATCATTTATGTTTCCAGGATTTATGAATCGTTTTCTGTCCAGATTGCAGTTCTGGTCTTCTCTAGCTTTGGAAAGCTCTTGGAGTTGTTAAAGCTGGAGCAGAAAACACAGCCCCATAATAGCTGTCACATCATCCCGCGAGGCTGGGGCTATGCTCTAGCTCCTATGGGGTAGCTTTTTTGATGAATAAATAAAATATTCCAACTTGTTTGTGCGTGCAGGGAGACATCAGGGTTTTCTAAAGCCTCACGTAGGTTAGAAACTGCATCTGCAACTGGGCAGTKTGCCTTCCCCCCCACCCCAGATGCGCCTTGGTCAGTCTGCAGGGTCTGAGATGCTCAGCAGCTAGTGGGGCTTTCCCAGCCTCTCCTTGGGAGGGTTGTTCTTCCAACTGTAGCTTCAACACGTGTCGGCACTGCCTTTGCTCGTGGTTGTGGTGTGCGTTTAACAGGCGGTTGGTGCTAATGTGATGGGGAAAAGTGGGATAAATGATTGATGCTGGTTTCAAGCTGTGCAGATTTCAGTGATAGTATCTGAGAAGAGGTTGGCATGGAAGYTTTGTGGAGAGGGAAAACTGTGTGTGTTTGTGTATGTAACCATGAAAAGCTCAGCTTAGACGTATTGGTCTCACTGGCCTCCGGAGGCAGATGAGTTTGAAATCCAATGGGATTGGGATGAGCAAGGATGTGCTGCACCTTTTCCTTCCCACTGCTTAACTTGCCAGTGGAGGATCCAGTATTTACAGCCCATCTGCTGGATGCATCATCCCACTCACAGCAGTCAGCAAAGCTGGCCAGCCAGGGAAGAGCAGAGGTGGGTTCGTGCTTGTGGGCTTTGCCTGCGAAAGGGAAAATTTAAAACTTTGAAAGAAARGAGAACAGAATGTGTCTTTTTCACCTTGCTGCGAGCGGAATATGCTAACCAGAGTTGCAAAGAAAGGTTAGTTTGGATAGAAATGAAGTTGGGAAAATAGGAAATGTCACCACRTGAACTGCAGAGAGTGGGACATTCGTCTATTAAAGTTATTGCTGAGCTCCCCAGAGTGCCTCAGGTTGGTGTATTTAATGAAGGAAAGTACCCAAAGTGATTGACATGCTTTCCGTGTGCTCTAAGGCCCACGCTGTGTTTTGGGGGTTCTCTCTGTTTTTCTGAATGAGAATCTCGAGTGAGGTGGTCTGAACTTGGACTTTCTAAATCTCAGTCTGTAAATGACGCCTGCTGCCCATCAGCACCAAGTTTCCCTCTCCAAGAAGGCAAAATGCTCATCACAGCATTTTTAGTGTSGCCGAGGTAAAAGGACAGCCAGCTGGTTCAGGCCTTTGAAGCCACTGGACACACTYAATAGCTTTGCAACTGTATATTCATCCCCAAAACATC